ATACATAATTATGTATGGTAAAAAATTAAGACTTTCCAGATAGCACAGAGAGTCCAAAAGAACTCGATTATATGTCACCAATTCTGAGTTTATTTTCAAATGCAAAAAGAATTCTTTTCTATAAATTTTAAAAAAGGATTCTTTTTGCATCTGAAAATGAACTCAGAATTGATGACATATAAAACTGAATACGAATAAATTTTTTTTGAACTCGATGCTATCTTGTATTTTTTATTTGTTTTTTAGGTTATCATTATGCCAAGAGAAAAGAAAACGGTGTGGATGCATTTTCAGATGGCTAAAAATGATAAAAACGCAAATATTGTCTGTTGCAAATATTGTAACAAGAGTTATACTTTCCCAAATGCTACTAGAATGGAGAAACATCTAGAAAAATGCAATAAATATTCTACTGTTAATAAAGAAGGTGAAGGAGATTTAAGGCTATATTTAGTTACATCTTATATTTAATCTTAAGATCTTGTATAACGAGTTTATCTCTCTAGATTTTTCATAATCAATTGAATGATAAGTCGATATGTACAATATATATTTGATCTCGTATATTTATTTGACATGGTTTTTTTATTTCTTTAAACGAATATTTATTTGTGCTGTAGTAATTTTAAAATGTTTTGTTTTTTCCTCACTTTGTTTAATAAATAAAAACATGAAAATTGTAATAAAATAATCATTTTAATTTTAATTTGATTCTAAAATTTAATTAAAATTCTTTTCACACTTGTTAGGTTCAATTGTAATTGAAATTGAAGAGGATATTACAGCTGATACAACTCTTCAGCCAGTCCAGCCTGTTGCATCATCATCTACGCTATCTGATTCTTCAGTAACACAGTCTTTGAAGCGTTCAAAATCAGGATCACAGAGGATTTCATCTTATTTTGACTCGATTAGTTCTGCGGAGAGAGAAAAAGCTGATAAAGCTTTTGCAAAGGCCGTTTACGCTGGAGGTCTTCCTTTTTCAGTATTTGAAAATAATCCACTCTTTCATGAAGCCTTTAGCATTCTTCGTCCTTCATACGTACCACCAAACACACATGCTCTACGAAGCTCTTTATTAAACTTTGAGTATGAAGCAGCCAAATTATCTATTGAACAAAGACTTTCGAAAGCATCTTGTATTACTGTCATGTCTGATGGATGGACAAATATATGTGGTGAAGGAATCGTTAACGTTTTGTTAGGTACTCCAGATATAGTATTCTATTCAGCTATAACCCCTGGAGAACAAAAAGAAAATGCTGAGTTCATTGCACATGAATTTTTAAAAGTAATCCGAAAAATTGATAGTAATAAAGTTCTTCTTTTAGTAACAGACAATGCTGCTGTTATGAAAGCTGCTTGGAAAATAGTAAGAACTGAATTTCCTCATATATTTACAATAGGATGTGGTGCACATGGATTAAATCTTCTTGCCAAAGATCTTATGAAAATTCCTTTTTTAAATACTATTAGAAATCAAGCTCGAAAAGTTATTAAGTTAAAAAGAAAGAGATTATTTTATGCCGTTTTCAAAAATGAACAGACTAGATTGTATGGAAAAAATGCTAAGTCATTAAAGTTGTCAAATCCTACTAGATTCTCAGGTGATGCTCTAATGTTTGAATCTCTCCTTTCTAATAAGACTGCCTTACAGGCAACTGTGATATCTGATAAACTGAATGGTAATGATATTGATTCTTCAGTAAAAAGTGAAATTTTAAGTGATAATTTCTGGAAAGATTGCTCAATAGCTTTACAATTGCTCAAACCAATAGCTAAAGCTATTGGTGTCTTAGAAAGCAATTCTGCATTTCTATCGTTGGTTCCTAGGATGTTTATGGATATAATTGCTAAATATACAGACTTTTTCAAAGAATGTACTATAAATTCTGTTGTGCAAAATACCATATTTTATTATGTTAAGAATAGAATGAATTTTATTCTATATGATATTCATAAAACGACTTATCTTCTCGATCCACGATTTCATGGACAGGGTCTCAGTGATTTAGAATGCCTCGATTGTCTTGAACTTATCAGTTCATTAGCTAGTTTCTTAGGTTTAGATGTCACTTTAGTCAGAGAGAATGTTGTACTTTACAGATCGGAAGAGCACACGTCTGA